CAACCACTTTTTGAGAATAAGTGTCCTCTTTTCTTGAAGTGGGCCCAAGGAAAATATTTTGAACTGATTTGCAAATCAATATATAATTATTCTGTAGGGGGTTAGTCTAATAAAAGATGATTAATTAAAGTCTACTTTTGGCCTAAATCAACAATTCATTCACTTGTTTATTCATAATTATCTATACATTGTCAATAGATTAACCAAACATGCAATGGGCATAAGTGTAGGACAATGCATGTTAAGACTTACATTTGATTCCCATCCTCATAATTATCTATACATTGAAAATAAAATAAATACTTGATTATTTTAATAAATTGATTTGGCTCAAACTATCTTCATCACCTACTAGGTGATGCATAAATAGAAATATAAAATGTTTAACCAAACTTGACCTTGATACAGGAGCTCGAGCTATATTATACATTTAGAGTTTAGTAAATTATGTAAGAAAATCCATTAATCAAGCTTTCTGCTGAGTTGTTTGTTAGGTTTAATAGCTTTATGCACACAAAAAATTAGCTAAATTACTGGATAAGGAAATAGTTGATAACATTTTCATGAGTTTGGGGGAAAAAAAAAGTTATATTAGGTGGCAATTGAATATGAAAATTTTTCAAACTGGGTTTAATTTCAATTTGGGCTGCCCCAGTATTTTGATGGGCCACGTGATTTTGGATAACTGGATACCACAAGAACGGCCCATTCAACATACCAGAATTTTCGCAAGTCTATGAACATGTTTGGATATAAAAATTTTGGTTTTGTTGGAATTTTTTGTTTGGTTTAGTTAATTTTGAAAAAAAGTCGTATGATTAGTTATTAGTGGATATATTAAAGTGAATTAATTAAAATTGATTTGATGTGAAAGTAAGAGAAAGATGACTTGAAGTGGTGGTTACTTAAAATAATATGAGTGGATGAATAGTGAATTAAGGTTGATATGGTGTGTATAAATGATTGGTTGATATTATTTAATTATATTGATAATATTTGATGATAGTGGGTTGAGTTAAAAAAGTGGTTGAGTTAAATTATTGATTTTTTTTTAAAATTTATTGTTGACACGTGCTCTGGTGAATTTTGCACCACAGGATGGCGGATCTGCATATCTCCTCACCATTAATGCATGTGGTACGGATAATTTGAGGAGATGATTGGCTCCAATTGGACATCTACATACTCGGACATTTATTCGAGCCGATCGGGTGACTTGTGCTCATCTTCGGCACTTACATTAAATGTTGTCTCTCATTCATTTTATAGGAAAATTGAGGTCTTGTGCTAATCCCTTTTAAGATCTTTGTTTTCATTTTTATTAAAGAGATATTCCTAAAGTAATAAGGCAAATCAGCATAAAATGCTCTGGACTTTTTATCTTAATCTCGAGACTAGTGATACTCCTAGCTCGTGACACGTGCTCTGGTGGATTTTGCACCACAGGATGGTGGATCCGCATATCTCCTCGCCATTAATGCATTTGGTACGGATAATCTGAGGAGATGATTGGCTCCAATCAGACATCTATTCGAGCAAATCGGGATGACTCGTGCTCGCCTTCGGCACTCTGCTCGTCCTTGGCTTTTCACCTCTATTGGGTACAAATTCGGATGGACCTTCCATTTTGACTCGAATTATTGTTGTTCGGTATATACCCCGTACATAACTCTGGCTATTTTTAAGCTTGTACTTCCATCTTAATTCTATCTAATCCTCATATAGTGATATTTTGGGCTATACAAAAAAACACTTTCTTTTTATAGTAAAAATTTAATTATTTAAAATTGCACACGAAATCGTATTATTCTTTTGTGCATTTGCATTAACAAAATTACATGATAAATGCCCAATTTAGTTATTGTACTTTTATGCATATTCAATTTTGTTTAATATCCACTAACATAAACCGGGAGTGAAAATAATTGACACAATGAAATACAAACACATCACTAGAAAATACAATTATAGAGACAAATACCACAATTAATCTGATGCCAACATAATTGAAAACTTAAATAATAAAAACTTGTCTAGCTTTGAAAAAAAAGGTCTAGAATGTAGAAGCTGGACCGTTGGGCAAAGGAGATGTTGGCACCCCTCAAAAGCACATTTCATACACATTTATGAAATAAAATTATACAAAAAATTCAAAACAAAATAATGTCAAAAACAAAGAACAAAAACAGCAGTGGACTCATTCATGTGAACAGATTCCGCAAAGATTAAAGCAACGAAAAAAGACTGATTGACAATTTGACATGGACACATGTTCAATCTGCACTTAAATGGGATAATCATTTGTCTAAATCAATTTGCCTTTTGAGGAAAAAAGATAAAGCAAGCAAGATTTTTTCAAGAGTCCGATCAGATTCTTGAGAGAAACAGTTAAAATTGCAGGAAAAGTCGTGAGAGTGTAATGAGAAAAAGGGGGAATAAAGTGGGTGAAAAAGAATAAATTGAAGGAAACAAATTATTGTACAAGACAATCCAACAGTTAGACGACTCATACTTTTCAACAAAACTGCATTGTTACGTTGAGAATGACATACATTTAAATATGATATTCTTAATGTGTATTACTTATAATTATGTATGAAAGTATACATATTTGTTAAATAAGTATGATTGTATCACATTTAGGCTTTGTCTAACCGAAAAAGAAAAATGATCAAGAATCATTAGGAGGCTGACAAAGTTTATGCTTTAGTACAGTTTTTTCATTCAAACCCATGATGACCTAAACAAGGCATGCTTTCTCTTTCTTTCATCTCTTTTTCCCCTGATTTCTTTCCTTTTTTTTTTTTCAACTCAGCAAATAATTACAAAAATGGAGACCATTTTAGTCAGATAGATATCAGGCCTCTATAGAAAAAGCTGGGCCTTTTCATATGAAACCAACTACACAATCTAAAGTGGGCAGGTAGGAAAAAGAGAAAGAAAGAATACTACTACTACTAGTAATAATAATAATAATCAGCAGTTTGAAGAGAAAAGATTTTGTAAAAAATATAAATAAATAAATAAAAAATAGAAAAATTAGCTGGCTCATGTATGCCATGCAAATACAACAAACAAACAAACACAATGGATTTGTTCAGAAAAACTCGAAATCCAAGTACGGGCCAGACGAGCCATTGGCCGTCTTATGGTTAGACGGGAAAGACTCGAGATCCACCGGCTTGGGAATCTGAGGTGGAACCGTGCTTCGAATGAGCGCCCAATTCACGCTCTCGAAAAACGGGTGCTTCTTTATCTCAGTAGCCCCACTCTTAAATCCTAACCTCTTCTGAGGATCTTTTGCAAGAAGGCCTCGAATTAGATCCTTCGCGGCGAAACTAATTGTGGGGCCCTCGGAAAATTTCAATGGCTGCCCAACTACATTAAACAAAGTCTCTCGATTGCCATTACCTTTAAACGGAGTCTTCCCGTGAAGCAACTCGTACAATTCTTTTTAATATTTATTATTTAGTTTAATAAAGTTGCACATAGTACAGCCTATCAATTGATATTATTCTGGGGTTGCTACAAGGAACTATGAAACAACGTAGTATATTGTGATATTATTATATATCATCATAATTATTACTCTTGTTATTATTGTTAGTGTTGATGTTCTATCTTGTGAAGATTTTTAAAACGCCATTCATATTATATATATATATTGATAATGATTATTTATATTGTGTAAATTAAAATTTAAGTTTATTTTTAAAAATAAATCATAAATTTATAATGAGAATTATTTATCAAAAAAATTTATTTTCTATATTTGATCAACATAGGTTAAAAAATTCATGTTAGTCCATACATTAACTCTATGACAATAAAATGGGAAACNAATAAAAAAAAAAGTAGATATGTCATAATACATATTTAAAAAAAATAATAAAAATTAGCTAGTCAATAAATATTGAAAAATGGTATCGAAATGATGAAACCTTTGTAGACTTTGAATAGTATACATATACATATTATTTTATATTAAATTATTATATGCCATAAATTAAAATACAAAAGAAATTAAAAAAAAATATTTTTTTTTAACAATATTCTCGTAGATTTCAAGTTCCGCAAAACTGTCCATTATCAATTTATCAGTTACCGAATGCGTGTCCTTCCTTATCAGCTGTAAGCCACTGATTAGCAGAGATTAAAATTATTCAATAAACCTGCTCTTTCATGTCATTTTTCACAAGTGCTTTTCTTTCCTTGAGGCTTTCAATCTTCAAACTTGACTTAGAATTCAAATATATTGGATATTTTCTTAAATGAACATTGGCAAGTTTAAATGAACAGTTCTTAGATGCTTTGGCAAGTGTAGATGAGCATTGCCAATGAGTGTAAATGAACATATTAATCAAAGCATTTCTTCTCAAATATATGTATCTCATAGACAGATTCGAGTAGAAAAGGACAAAAGAAAAACCTAACTTATATAAACTTTGATAATTTCAGCTAAATTATAGGAGCATTTAAATCAAAAGGGACGGACAATCACCTTACAAATAGTATTAGATTCCGGTTGAAAAGGATAGGGATTTCGGCGACTATGAGGCTCACCCCAGCTCCTTCAATCCATAAACAAAGTTCTTAGAAAATGGATTTGGCATTATCTGAGCCTCAAATTGGATCCAACAAAATTATAATCAGGTCCCCTTAAATTCATATACTCCATGTAGTCGGGCTTCGATCATTCAACACCGTTCAAAAATCGAAAAATAAAAAAAATACAAGTCTTATGAGAACAAGAATATTTGGGATACCTGTATATGAAGAACAATCATGGAGTAAGGATAGGCAAATAACACATCTCCAAGTGCTTGAGCAACTAGCATTAACGCCTTTTGCGTCTTAGTGGATGCTGATATTCCAGTAATGCTACCCTCAATCACACCTTTTGAGCCAAAATTCCCAAGGTTTACTCTTATCATAAAATTTATTAGAACTTTGCATTCAGTTGGCCGAGCCGCGAAGGCCAAACAGGCCCTAACATCGGCAAGAGTGTAATTTGTAAAAGAGGAACACACGACAAGGACTCATTTATGTAATTTTACTGCAAGAAAAACAGAACACACCAATGACTTTTGCAGCTCCTAATCCCAAACAAACGAAAGAAACATGTAAGACATGACAGCAGAAAGCACAGAAAGCCAATCCATGCTATGGAAAGTCATGTTTTGGAGACAGTAGAAAATATAACTCGGGCATTTTGCAGAGGTAATTACATAGGCAATTCCAGTCCCATAGAAGCTTACTCTGTCATGGCTTACTCTATTTTGTGGCTGAACACGGGGCTCCTTGGTATCTAACTACATTATCAGTTGAATTCAGACATAAAAATTGACTAGCAAACTGATAATGTAGTTAGATACCAAGGAGCCTCGATATCAAAATAGAGTAAAGCGCAACTTAAAATGATAAACAAGGTTCAGGTTCAGAAAATATCAGATAGCACCACCCTAGACATGTTAACAAAACCAGCAAGACTACATAAACACATAGCCAAACTATCCAATGGAGCCATCACAGAGTAAGCCAAAAATCCTATTTCTATGGTCCCCATTGGCACTGGCTTTGTTGAACCCTCATAAACTTCCTGTTCGTGCGGGTTCGTAAAGGTTCTTCCTCCATTATCCTTGCTCTTGTTCTTCTCTTTCTTCAACTTTTTGGAGCCCGTAGCCTCCTTCTCTTTGAGGACAACGCTTTTCGAATTTTGGCCCTTTACAACGGTGTTCCTTCCAGAGTCCCCCCATATTATCTTCGAAAGTTCAAACAGCCTATCCTCGTGGGGCTTCGAGAAGACAGGATCCTCGCCATTTTTTGCCCTTCTTGAGGGCATTCAAGTACCTCTGCTTCAACCTATTGACCTTTCTCCTCAGCTGCTCCTTCGAGGACTCGAAGAAGACTGTTGAGGCGGCAAAATCCCCCGGCGGATGCATTACCAGACTCTGGAGCGACGAGGACGAGATAACCCTGCTGAAAGGGCTAATCGCCTTCAGGGGCCTCCCGAACTTCAGATTCCCCTTAATGTAATCGTAAAAGGTGGCCAACTTCATTTTCCCCTTAATGTAATCGTAGTCTTTTACGATTTTACGATTACATTAAAATAATATCTATGTTGATATCATCTTTAAATCTCCTTACTACACCCAATAGTTGTGGCATTGTCTTCTTTTAGAGTGATCGGTTGCAAAGCTATTGAATTATCCTCTGCTTTATCATCTTCTGGATTATGAATGACATCGGCCACTATCTCTTCTAGACTCTGAACTTCGTGACATTGATTATTTTCACCCGGAAAGTCGAGCAACTGATTCACATCCATTTTGTGGTGATATTGCATGTCAATGATCAAATTCTCAAGCTCACGAACGTCTTCTCCATGAGTTGCATCATTTACACTTGAGTCGCTTTGAATAGTATACATATAAATATTATTTGATATTAAATTATTATATGCCATAAATTACAATACAAAATATATATATATATATATAAATAAAGGTTTGATTATTTTTTAAATAGTAACTATTTATCTCTAGAAAAATTATTTACTATTTTAGGAAATTAATTTAACAATTTACGTTATATTTTAAATAATCACTTATGGAAATTGCGGCTCATTATTTAAGAGCATCTCCAATGCATAAATGTTGTTATCACATAAACTTTGACAAATGTCAATTATTTAGATAGATTGTGAACCACATAAGATACTTGTTAAGTTCACAACTTTAAATCTAAAAAAATATCTACAATGCACAATATGATCAAACAAAATATTGTCCACTTGGTAAAAATTAAAAAAAAAATAATAAATAAGAAAAAAAATTAAATAATTAGATATTTTGAAAATGATAATAATATTCCTCTCTCATCTCTCAACTGGTTGATTAGAATGTGAATAAGAATGTGGATGAACCACATTCTTCTCTACATTGTGGACATTAATTATATTCACATCATCACTACATTTGTGATTACATTGTGCATTGTAATATTAAAAGTTAATACATGCTAAATTTGTCAATATAAAGTGTAATTTACTACAATTACATTTTACCATTGGAGATGCTATAAGGAAATGATATAAGCCATAAAAAAAATTATTTTTAAGATACATTAATTACTCAAATCATGTGAATTTGGCTGATTTACCTAAATATTAGAATTTCGGCTGCAATATCAATTATGTGATTTGAGAAAAATCTTCCAACTAAATTTTGTAATTAATTATTTAATAAGTGTTTTATATTTTTCGTGTAATCATTTTTAATTATTCTTTTCGTGTAAAAATATTAAAATGACACATATTTTGAAATGAATATAATGTAATTTATTATTAGTTATTTGCATCGTACGGGTCGTGTACCAATTTTAAATAGACATATTTAATGTAATTTTGCACAATTTATATTTTATATAACTTTTCAACAAATTAATACAAGTAAGTTGGATTACATATTGATTCCATATTTTTAATTTATAAATATTATATAATGAGCATTTTTAATTTGTAAATATTAAGAATATTTATTACACGGGATTCGTACTAGTTAACAAGAAATATATTAATTTTTTTTATTCTTACAATATTCTCGTAGATTTATGCTTATTTCAAGTTCCGCAAAACTGTCCATCATCAGTTACCTAATGCGTGTCCCTCTTCCTTATAACCTGTAAGCCACTGATTAGCAGAGATTAATTATTCAATAAACCTGCTTCTTTCATGAGCAGTGTTTTCCTTTTTCTTAAAGCTTTCAATCTTCAAACTTGACTTAGAATCAAATATATTGGATAAATTTAAATATTTCAATTGGTATGTATATATATGTATGTAAGCAGAATTGCAGACAAAATTAGGTCCCTGAAAATTGAAATCAAAATGGCATCCATACTGAAATTTCTAGCGTGCTACATCGCCCTTGTTTTGCTCTCATCAGGTACATAATAATGTTACACAAATTAATATAAATCCGCACATTTAATCTTGTTGGTCAAAATTGAATTGCATTTGACTGAATCAATTTTTTTGCAGGCAATTTACTTAGAGTCGAATCTTGCACATTTTACGTGACCAACAAGTGCCCCTTCCCCATATGGCCGGCCACCGCCCCTAACCAGGGCCACCCGGTCCTAGCCAACGGTGACTTCCACCTCCCGCCTGGACAGACCAAAATGTTTCGGACCCCAGGCGACTGGTCGGGCCGAATATGGGCCCGAACAGGCTGCATATTCGGCCCGACCTCAAACCACGGGCCCGCGTGCGAGACGGGGGACTGTGGCAACCAGCTCGAGTGCGGGGGGCTCATCGGGACCCCCCCAGCCACGCTGGTTGAGTTCACGATCCAAGCTGACAAGAGAAAACCGAGCTTTTACGACGTGAGCCTGGTGGACGGGTACAACCTGCCAGTCCAAGTCTCCTCGAAGGGTCTGGACTATAAATGCACGATTCCGAGCTGCGGACGGGACATGAAGGTCACATGCCCGAAGGAGCTCTCGGTTTACGGCCGCTCGGGAGAGGTTGTGGCGTGCAAGAGCGCGTGCCTAGCGTTCGGGCACGATATGTTCTGCTGCACAAACGAGTACGGGAGCCCGGACAAGTGTGGGCCCACCAAATATTCGAAGGTGTTCAAGGATGCGTGCCCGAGATACGTCAGCTACGCGTACGACAACCAGGGCACGATGACGAGTTGCTGGTCGGACGAGTACATGGTGACCTTTTGCCCGGGTAAATGGGGCACGGAATATTCGTCTAATTAGGTTTAATTAGCATAAACTTGTATGATAGAGATAAAATAAAATCAACATTGGTGTTGGGGAATGAATGTTGATGTGAGGAGATGTGATTGTGCATTTTCATTTCAATTGGTCGGTTAATAAGATATTGTTTGTATCGAGTGAAGAGAAGTTATGACATTTTGATTTGCATGATTGGAAGGTTGATGGTCAATTAATAATGAGTTGAGCTTAAATAAATCGAGTTCGAGTCTTAACAAACATATTTATAAAAAAAAAAATAGAAAGCTTCATTGAAAAACTCGAATTTGTCTATTCTAACAAATCTTAATGAGTGTAGCTCGACTCATTAATTGAATGAGTTTTAGATTAAACAAGTTGAATCAAAGCGACTTCACATGCACCTCGTCTTGTTTAACAACTCTAGTATGGTCAATTGATTCATACCTTTGCTTATTCTCGAGGAGATTTGAAAGTTTCGACTTTAAAACCATGACTAGATTTTTCACCATCTTATCAACAAGCACACACACAGATGATGTACAATCCAATGAAAGACTCGATAAATGTAATAGGGTGAAATCTAGCTTGATCCATACTGATTGGACCAATTATTCCATTTGCGATGGGGAAATGACTCCATTTACAAACCTCATTTATGTTTTTGACATAACTATCTTCACAACTTTTTCTTTCCAACTATACAAGGTTAAAAGCGACTTTGCAAAACTCTAATATTCACACAATATTTTGCTATACTCAAAAAGTCAACATAAAAATCTCAAATACCAATAAAAGACAATAATTATATATATTATGAGCGATCCACCAAGAGTTTCAGAACAAATAGGAACACTTACAGAAATAATAAAGAAAATCCAATTAGAAATAGTCGAAAAATTAGACGAAATAGATAGGCTAACCCAATAAAAATTTCAGTTAAAGAATTACTAGATTTAGTAAAAAAAGAAAAAACACAGAAAAAACTATTTAAACCAATTCAAATAGAACCACCAACAAGTTCTAATGGATGACATAGATAGGCTAACCCAGTTACTGGAAAAATGCAATATTGAAGAAACAAGAATGACAAAAATAGATGACGAAGATAAACAAGGAATAATCTACGGAGTAGATAGCGAAGATGAAGATGAACCAACGATTAATATGACTGATCAAAAAATTCATACAACACCACCATTATCACCAAAACGACCTAGAACAAATGAAGCATCTGCTTCACAGAATAATTATGTAGAAAGCAGTTTTAGAGATTTTATATATAGAAATGATTATAGCTATCATCAAGAAAAAATAAAGAAAAATATACCACCAGCATATTTAGAAAAAGAAAGAAATTTATCCAGTGGAATATTAAATATAGATTGTGCAACAAATGCAGAAGATTTAATAGTTACTTGGACTAATCAATTAAAATTGTTAGTTCAAACTAATGACTCGATGATAAATGGAATGACATTAATCGATTTTGCTAATTATATAAGATATAAAACATCTGGAGTATTATTTGATTATCTAGAAAATACCCAAATTTTATTAAATCTTGAAGCCAGTGGTTTAGAAACAGGAGCAGAATATAAAATATCAGCCTTAAAAGAATTAGCAAAAGATTTATTAAAAGAATTTTTGGGAATTACAGGACAAGAATCAAAAGAAACACAGAAAGAAAAGGTTTTCAGATTTTTGACAAATATGAAGTTATGCAATATATGCTACATAGAAAATTTTTTCTGTCAAGTAAGAGAAAATTTCTATAAAATTAAAGATCGATCAGGACTAATAGAAATAGTTGAAAGTAAACTTAAAAATGAAATGAATAAATACATTCAGAAGAAAATTAGTGAAACAAAAGAAGAAAAAACTCTAGGAATTTTAGAAAAATATGCAAAAGAATATAGAGATGAACTTTGTATAAGGAAATTAGAACACTATGAAATGACAAAAATCGATTCAAAATGTTGCAAACAATTAGAAAGTGTACCGCAAGAATTTGGTTGTTATAACCCATACAAAAAGAAAAAATATTATAAATACAATAAGTTTAATAGACGATATAGACCAAGAAGATATAAGACATTTAGAAAACCGTGGAAAACAAAATATAAAGGAAAGTTTAGAAAACAAGGAAAATACTTAGGAAAACCTAAATATTGTCCTAAAGGAAAAAAGAATTGTAGATGTTGGAAATGTCAAGAAATAGGGCACTATGCAAATGAATGTCCTAAAAACATGCCAGAAAAAGAAAAGAAGTTAAAAATGATATTTTATTTAGGTTATGAACCTATAGAAGAAGAATATGAAGAAGGCGAACTGTTAGACTTTGATATATATGATTTAGAATCAGAGACAGATAGTGATTCAGAAATATCCGAATCAGAAGATGAGTAAAAACAGTTCATTCATAAAAGTTAAATTATTTAATAAATTTCTACTAGCATATATAGATACAGGAGCAACAATATGTTTAGCAAAAGAATCTATATTACCTAGTAAATATTGGAAGAAATTAAATAAACCAATTATAGTAAGAATTGCAAATAATAAAACAATAAGTATTGATTATAGAGCAACAGACTTAGTATTATTAATAGAAGAAAAACGGTTTCCTTTACCAAGTATTTATAAACAGAATACAGGTTTACCATTAATAATTGGAAATAACTTTCTTAAGTTATACAGTCCGTTTATTCAAAGACTAAATACTATAAGTCTTAGATGTCCGCAACTAGATACGCAATCTAGTAAAATAATAACTACAAAAATATATAATACATCTTCTTTCGTAAAGGGGGAGATATTAAGAAAAGTTTCATTTCAAATTTATAAAGTAATAAGTATAACACTAGAAGAACATGTTAATCACTTATTAGAAAAAATATGTAGCCAAGATCCATTAGATCTAAATAAAAATACGAATAATATAATAGTAAAAATAGAATTAATAGATCCTAACAAAGAAGTAAATGTACCAAATAGAATACCATATACAGAAAGAGATGTTAAAGAATTTCAAGAAGAAACTACTAAAATGTTAGAAAAGGGTATTATACAACCTAGTACAAGTCCACATAGTGCGCCAGCATTCTATGTAGAAAATCACAATGAATTAAAAAGAGGAAAACGTAGAATGGTTATAAATTACAAAGAAATGAATAAAGCTACTAGAGGAGATGCATATAAATTACCAAGACAAGATTATATTTTTAGTCGAATTAAAAAGGCAAAATGGTATAGTACATTAGATGCTAAATCAGGATATTGACAGTTAAGATTACAGGAAGAAACTAAACCTTTAACGGCATTTAGTTGTCCACCGCAAAACCACTATGAATACAATGTAATGTCATTTGGATTAAAACAAGCACCTAGCATATATCAACGATTTATGGATAATAATCTTAAGGGATTAGAATTAATAAGTCTTGCCTCTATAGATGACATAATTGTTTTTACACAAGGATCAAAAGAAGATCATTTAAAAGAACTTGCAAAAGTTTTAATACAATTAGGTAATAAAGGAATTATTTTAAGTAAAGAAAAAGCAAAAATTTGCAAAACAGGAACAGAATTTTTGGGAATGAAAATAGTCCTTTAAGTCAGTCTATGCAAAAAGAATTGGAAAAAACCAATAGCAAACGATTACTTTTATCCAAATGGGTATCAGGAACGTTTAAGCCAGCTGAACGCAATTATACTACACACGAGAAAGAAACCTTAGCCTTTATAAATGCACTCGAAAAATTTAAACTTGACCTACAACCAGTGAAATTCATATTTCAAAATGATAGCCTATACACTAAAGATTTTACAAAATATCGATTGAAAGAATCCTACAATAAAGGTAGAATTCTTAGATGGAGCCTAAAAGCACAACAATTTGATTATATTTCTGTGTATATCCCAGGAAAAGAAAATTATTTAGCAGATACTCTTACACGATAATGGAGTCAGTTACAACAATTTTAATGGAAAAAAGAAACCAGCTTGAAGAAGAAATAAGGCAGTTGAAAGAAACCATATACGCAGGAAAAGTACAGACACCATCTTCATCAAGTTCATCGTCGGAGAAAAAGTTACCAGTACTTGGAAAAATTCCAAGTCCAAGACAACTTACCATCAACCAAATTCAGACTAGACAGCAAAAAGAAGAGAGTACTAAGTTAACAAGAAAATTATTCGAAGCAGAATATAATTTTCTCTTAAATTACTCAGACAAAGACAAAGCAACAAGCATTTATCCTGTTGAAAGTTATTTCACAGGACCTAAAGCAGTTAGTCTACCAGAAGCCGATCCAATAAAGACATATATGATGTTCCAATCCGGGTTACTTAGTTGTATATACTTCAGAAGTACTGATATCTTTCAGTATTTCCCAACTAAGTTCACACAAGCTATTCACTCATATTCCAGCAAGCTTCTCAACAAAAAAGAAGGATTCATGAAAATATTTGCAACAATTCCCATTTTTTCTGAGGAGGGGGAAGTTATACAACCAGCCATACAATTATGCCAAATTGGAGTTAGTAATGGAAACTATCCAGATCTAGGAATAGCAAAGCATGAAGACGAGTTAACACATTATTTAAACAATTATGTGATTATACTCGGAAAAAGCATTAGAGTAAAAGGAAGATTTAATTATTCATCCCAATCTGTTTTATTATGGAGCATGCAAGCAAGACAACCAATGCCTTTAGTGTTACAGTAGGGTACCCGGCGTTCCAATCTAATTGGACGTATTCTACTTGTAAATACAGTCTATTGGAATTATATTATGAATAAGGCATTTCTTTATCTTAAGAGAAAGAATTTATCTTATAATTGCACTTAAGATAAAATCCCTAGATCACTTATGGTTATAAGGTATGGTTGTGCATAGAGATGGTGATCATGGAACATACCTTGAAAGCTGTGATCTTAAATACAGTTCCAAGTCGATGGATATTTCGAGATGGGATATCGAATAATCCATAAAAGACTTGCACATAGTTTGTATGCTTGTTGGACAAGAATGTTGCATTCCATCAACATTACAGTAAGACGTAAGTACATTTATGTGGGTGCTTGTTAGAGAACAAGTTCACTGAACATGACCGTATGAAAATTCTTAATGAAGAATTTATTCAGTCGAATAAGAATTTTCATGTTACAATAGTACATGACTAATCCTAAGACTTGAGGCACAATGGTAACTTTGTGCATATTACAT